GGTTTCTTGACGAAGCCGCTGCCGCTCTGCGCGCTCTTGACGAAGGTGCGAGCATTTTGTTGCGCGCGGCGCGTGGCGGGGCCCATTGTGTTTTAGCGCGGGGGGTGAAGGGTGTAGGGAGGGAGTGAATGTTGTCTGACTCGGCAATTCACTTGTGAAGGACGCAAGCTTGGGCATTGGTGGTACCGCGAGACGCTAGCGCGGTGTCACGTGCCGAACTACAACAATTCTGCATTTGACAACGGAGACTGAGAACGGCACGGCGACTACGACGGTTGGCCTTTTGGGATACAGGCTGCTGCATCAAGATACTTTTTGAATCCAAACCCCATGCGCTTGCGCAACAAAGCCCCGGCGCAGATGGTGCGTAGGTTCCCCGTAGGAACAGCCCTTCCTCTATATCTAATACACCTTCTTCTTCTCGTCCACGCTGAACTGTCCGGGCCCCATGTTCACCAGTAACAGCAGTCCGCCCACGATGGACAGGATCTGGAAGAAATCGTACTTGGCGAAGTCCTTGTGCGGGTGGTGGGGATGGAGCTGTAGGGATCTCATAGTCAGCATGCTTCGTCCTATCCAAGCAAGAATCGTTCTGCGAGTCCCGACTCACCGTCCAAAAGTTGTTGACAATGATATTGAACACACTCAAAATCATCACCAAAATAATCGCACTCCACTTCGCCTTGAACCCCACCACAACCATCACGCACGCCACAAACCCAATAGCAATCACCACCAACCTCCCCGCGCTCCACTCGCCCGCAAACACGAACCCGGCAAACAAGAAAATCAACAACACCCGCCCCGCAAGCTGGAAATACATCTTCCGGTCCTTCTCGTCCAGCTGCGGCAATCCCGCGGGCGCGAACTTTTTGCGCACCCACGAGTCCGACAGCACCATCAGCAGGCCGCCCATGACGCTCAGGTTGCGCAGGAAGAAGTTGAGGTCGAAGATCAGGCCGTAGCCCAGGGCTTGCGTGACGACGACGCCGATGAGGCCCATGACGGCGTACTCGGAGTATTTGCGGATGATGATGAGGAGGGAGGAGGTGGTCATGGCGCAGACGTTGAGGATGAGGAAGAGGTGGGTGATGCCTCGGGGGACTGCCATCACAGAGTCAGCATATTGCTCTCTTCCACCAGATGGCCTCCTCCCGCCGCCCTCCTTTCCTGTCCTCTTTTCTCGTGATTTCCAGGGTATGGTAGCAACTTACTATGCCGATAATCATGCAAATACACCAGCTGATCCCCCCACTGCGTCATAATCCGCAACGCATCCTCCAAAAACGTCACCACGATCAAAAACCGCCCAATCGCCGGCAGGTACGGCTTGATGGGGTCGCTGTACGTGTCCAGCCAGTCCTCGATCTTGCTCGTCTGCGCGCGGATGGCGGCGAGCGGGGAGGGGTCGTTGGTGGCTTCTTGGCGCGAGGAGTTGCCCATGCCCATGCCCATGCCGCTGTTGCTGTTGAAGTTGTTGCTGTTGAAGTTGGTGTTGTTGTTTTGGTTGTTGCCGAGGTGGTAGCCGGCCGTGCCTCGGATTTGCGCCATGCTGGGTGGACGGTCCGTCTAGACTGTTCTTGGGGGAGTTGCGGTGTACAGACAGGTGTTCGATGCGTTCGGGGTGTTGATCGCCGGCGGGTCTGCTCTTTTGTAGCTTTGTTCGCGGTCGAGGATGTGACGTTGCTGCCGGCAGCGTCTGGGTGCACCTTAAGTTAAGGAGTGGTATGTGTACGCCAGGTAGCAATACACTTCTGCGGCGCGCAAGTGTTGTTGGAGAGTCAGAGGGAGAACGGCGGTAATGGAGAGCTCGAAAAGCGAGGGCGGTCGGTGGTGGATTGTGTGGGGTGAGAGCGGGTGAAGCCAAGTGGCACCTTCAATCACCTGGAATATTGGCTCCTAAGTCCGGAAACCACGGAGATGAACAAAGGACGGGCGATTGAATAAGATGTGGATTGGCGGTCTCAAGACGACAATGAAGGGCATAGTTGTGTGAGGGTTGACTGCGCTGGATTTCAGCTGCTCAGAGTACGGTAACGTCGAGCATTTCAGACGGACTAGAAATAAGTCCGCTGACGGTCTGAAGCTCACCTCATTTGAGTGCTCAAGACAAAGCTGATGGACCACTCAATTCGGAAAGCCGAGAAGATTCAGTCAATGTCCTCCCGGGTCACTACGTGTATGATCTCGCCCTTAGCCGTATCCTTAAAGTACAGCCAGCCCATCGAACGGCGACAGCGAAAGCTAGCCGGCACAGCACTCGCTTGCCTTCCCTCCCTTCCCGCGCGCCCTCCTCGTCTTCGCCATTGAAATGAAAGCGCACTAGTACAATACCTCACGCAGCCCCGATCTCCAGCGTCAAAGACTTCCGCCCAGATCCCACGTCTCACAAATTCCCCCCCCGTAATCCTTCCGACCCTGCTCCCTTCCCCGCGCCGCCTATGTGAATGCTGGGGAATTTTGTTTGACTTACCTTGAACAATGCAACGATCCGGTGAGGCCGTGAAGGCGAGAAGATCCGCCTGATCCAGTATCGTGGCCCCGTGGTGAGCACTCGAACGAATGCCTCGTGGCGATCCGCGCTATCGTACAAGTCGCGAGGAGCTCATGGGTCCCAGCTAGCCGGGTCACTCGCATCGCCATGATCATTCAGCGCCAGGAAGCCGGACGGCGCACCACCATTCACAGTCGACTTGCTAACAGCAGGGGCAGCTTTCTTCGCAACAGCCGTCGGCTCCACGGCAGTGCTATTCCCGCTCGCCTCGGCGGCCGCCGGCTTCTTCTTCTCCTGCTTCTTCTTCTTGGGCGCTGCAGTCGTCCAGCCAGACTCGTCCTCGCTCTGCTTCACCGCCATTGCCACCTGGTCCTCCTCGGACAGCTTGTCGTGGTCGCGGTCGTTGGCCTCGGCCTCAGTAGTGCTAGTAGCTGCGGTGCTGGGCTCTGGACCGCCGTTCGAGCTGGCGGTGGACTCGGCGTCGAAGGTGTCCAGGAGTGGGCCATTGGTGGGACCATTGCCGTTGACGGCGGGAGTGGGTTCGCTCTTGTTGGGCTTGGGCTCCGTCCAGGCGTTGTTGGCAGGTGGCTTTGGGACCGGGATGCCGTTCTTCGCAGGCTCGCCACGTGCCTCTCGTGCTGCACGGCGTTGCTTCTCCTCGAGCGCCTTACGCGATTTCTCCTCCTCAACCCGCTCTGCCCTCTGCTGCTCCTTCTTCATCCTATTCTGGCGCTGCTTCTTGGTCTCAACATCCTCTTCCTTCGACTGTCTCACAACCTTCGGCTTCGCCGGCTGGGCTGACGCGGTCAGACGGAGCACAGATGGACCCTTGGCAGTCGGCTCCAGCATATCGGAGACGTCACCAGCAGGGAGCGCTGGAGACGCGACTGGCGACATGTCATCATCAGCGTCGAGACCAGCTTGCGAGGAGCCGGAGGAGAGCATCGGCGGGTCCATTGCACTCCTCTGCTTCACGGTCTTGACGCGGTTTTCCTTGCCCTTCGGGCCAGAGATAGCAGCCCCTTTCCTGGCCTTGGCCATCTGCTCGGCGAACTTTTTGTTGCTCATGTCCTCCTTCTCCTCGCGCCCTTCCTGCTGCACGACGATCTCCGGGGTAGGTTGTGTCTGGACTGGGCCCTCCGGCTTGGCCACCTTCCGTTTCTTACCTTGGTCCTTGCCATCGGCAGCCTTCTTCGGATGTCCCTTCGTGTCGCGATCTACGCGCTCGATTGACTGCTTCCGGCCACGAGAGTCCGCTGCAAGAGCCCGCCGCTCCAGACGGGTTTTGGCCGCCGAGCCCGTGCCGTGTTGCGAGTAGTAATAGTAGGCTCCTAGGCTGCCCACGACACCAGTGAAGAGTATCCAGCTCTGTGCAGCCTGCCAGGTATCCATTGTGAAGTTGTAGATGCTGTTGCAGTCGCGGCTGTGGTTCGTTCGAAAGTCGGCACGGTACTGGGGTGTAGGATATGGCGGGACGCGGTGGCGCGCGGCGCTGTTGCAGTGATGTTCTCGTCTTTGTTGCTGCTACGAAAGGCTGATGGCGAGCTGTACGACGGGGGCGTGGTTGGCCCCGACGCCAATGCTGTCGGCAAGTAAGGAGTCGCGGGTGTACCAAGCCGCCGAGACGCTAGCCGCTCTTCTGAAACTATTGAGCGGTGCCGATGAATATTCTGGTGCCGTACGGATGAAGTCGCGTGGAGTATGGGGCCAAGCGAATGTGAGTGTGGAATGGAAAGAAGGAAACGGACCAAGTGTGAAGTGGCGAAGTGAGCAGTCGCGGAGAAGTCGCCGTGTTGACTGCAGGTCGTGGAGGTGGATGTGGAGGTGGACCGCGCGGAGCTCTCCCGGCTGCAACGGCACCCACGGAGCTTCCTAAAACGGCTCTCGATGTTCGACGACTTCGTATTCGTTGATGAGAGAGCGTCTGGTGTCTTTACCCGAACTGCTTCACGCGCTGGATACGGGGATTGCAATAATAATGATGGCAACGCAGCTACGACATGTGAAATCGCCAGCTGCCACGCGTCGTTTGCTCCAGACCTCTGACCTTCTTATTATCACCAACGAAGCACCCGCCTTGATCGATTAATATTCACTGCATCAACCTACCCCGTCCCGCCAGTAGTCCCGCTGCCCGAGTCGGAGGACAGCATCCACTTCTGACCTTGGTGCTCCCGCATGACCACATCATCTTCGACAGATCGGGACCTGCATTCGCCCGATACGAGCTGTTCCATCCTCGACGCGTTCTGGTCATCCGTAGAAGCACGTTGCTCCCGCAAAGACGTGCCACGTTGGCGGGAACAACAGCGGCTTGGGAGCTGCAGGTCCGCGTCAACGCGAAGTTTGACCGCTTCCACGCGTTCTTTTCGGCGCAGCAGCGGAAAGGACATCGCTGCTTGCCTTGCACGCGTCGAAAGCGGGTTGCTCACTGTTGCTTCTGGCGCTCCTTCGCGGAGACACCTTGCTTCATAGAATACATTTTCGACTCACCATGAGTATGGTCGCTTAGCTCAGTTGGTTAGAGCGTGGTGCTAATATTGCTATGACACGCCAAGGTCGCGAGTTCGACCGTATGTATACCTCCCAACCACATCTTACAAACTGCCAGTGCTGACCAACTCCAAGCTCGTAGTGACCACTCCCGAGTCGTTTTTTTTGCTCCCTGACGGTCCACATCTTTTCTCGTTCTCATGGTGGTATCAGTTATCCAAGCAGATGGAACCCGCCATAGTGGATGCTCGGTGAGATTATTAGCCAACGAGAACTAAGGTATAGACAGACGGGAATCGTCAACGCCACAACCACACGACGCACATCAAGTCATTCGTTCATCATCGCCACAAATTCACAAATTTCACACGCCATCTCGTCTGTATCAAACCTTTGCGCTACTCTCAGCTTCTGAAAAATAGATCTCGCGTTGCTCACCCTGTCGCTATGGCGGACCGTCGATCTGATAGCAGGAAACCGAGTATGCAGCGGTGGATGGAAGAGAAATATGTAGATGGGTACAGCGCGGAAATGATCGACGACCACAACAAGGAGGTGAAACAGGTAGCAGCAGCGGTGCGCAGCTTCTACAACCGCGGCGAGAAATTCAGAATCTTCCATGGCTCGACCAACAGCACTCGGAAATCGGCAATGGGGAGAGACCCGAGGAAGGTGGTGGACACGAGCCGGCTGAACAAGGTCTTGCTCGTCAATACCGATGCGGAACCACCGTATGCCCTGGTCCAACCAAATGTGCCCATGGACCGCCTGATCGAGGAGACGTTGAAGTATGGCCTCATTCCGCCGGTCGTCATGGAGTTCCCCGGCATCACTGCAGGAGGCGGTGAGCCATAAAATCCCTCCAAGTCAGTCCTTGGGCTCTGACTGATGATTGCAGGTTATGCTGGCACGTCGGGCGAATCTAGCTCGTTTCGCCACGGGTTCTTCGATCGCACTCTGGATCAAGTAGAAATGGTTCTCGCAAATGGCGAGGTCTTGGTGTGCTCAGAGACGGAGCACCCGGACCTATTTCGCGGCGCTGCTGGGGCCGTTGGCACGCTGGGAGTGACCACATTGGTCAAGCTTCGCCTACGCAAAGCCAAAAAGTTCGTCGAGACGACCTACCATCCGATATCAAAAGGCATACCGGAAGCAACGGTCAAACTACAGGAACTCGCTACTTCCTCAAACGACCTAGACTATCTCGATGGCATCATGTTCTCCAAAACCCACGGCGCGGTCATCACAGGCCGACTGACCGACGAGCCCACCCAAGGGACCCCAGCCCAGCGCTTCTCCGCGCCCAGCGACCCCTGGTTCTACCTGCACGTCCAAACCCGCCTCTCCAACCACGCCGGGCCCACCACCGACGCCATCCCCTTGCCCGACTACCTCTTCCGCTACGACCGCGGCGGCTTCTGGGTCGGCGCGGCATCTTTCAAGTACTTCCCCGGCATGCCCTTCAACGCCTTCACGCGCTGGTGGCTCGACGACTTCCTACACACCCGCATGCTGTATAATGCGCTCCACGCCAGCGGGCAGTCGGAAAGGATGATTGTCCAGGACGTCGCGTTGCCGTACGCCACCGCGGCCGAGTTCGTGGAGTACACTGACCAGCGTCTGGGCATCTACCCGCTTTGGCTGTGTCCGCTTAAGCAGAGTTCGTTGCCGACTATGCACCCGCATCTTGACGAGTATGAGGCTGATGGGACGACGCTGAAGCCGATGCTGAATATTGGGTTATGGGGACTCGGGCCCACGACGCGCGAGGGCTTTGTTGAGGCTAACAGGGATATTGAGAAGAAGCTCCAGGAGCTCGGCGGGATGAAGTGGTTGTATGCGCAGACGTACTATTCGGAGAAGGAGTTCTGGGCGGGTTTCGATAAAGCGTGGTACGATGAGCTACGCGAGAAGTACCATGCTACCTCCTTGCCCACGGTGTACGATAAGGTGAAGGGCGATCAGGGGCGGGATGCGGCGGGGTGGTCGGTGACGCGGGCATTCTGGGATACGTGGCCGATCAGTGGACTGTGGGGCTTGGTGAAAGCCATCGAAACTGGCGACTATGTGCGTGCGAGAAGCGCTTCGTGGAAGACGTGGGTTCCCCGGACATGATGATCGTCAGGCTGGGACACCGAGAGTACGGTTTCACGGCGCTCGAGATATCGCCTACTCCAGGCTCTTGACCTGATACTAGACTTTCCGCTTATGAGTATACTTGCACAGCGACACCCTCCCTACGATCGAGATTCGTCGAATGTGACACCAATCACATCCATAGCGCGACGGGTCTTCAGACTCACCGTAAGAGCCAGAGATCCAGCTTGCTTCTCCACATTGGCGGCGGATACCACCATCAACCATCGAATGGGTACGCTGCAGCCACGTCCGGCCAACACAATCGGTTCAGTCCCGACCCCGTCCAGAGCACGAGGGCCTCCGGAGACGTTCCCCGGGAGTCGGGTTGCCTGCAGGTTTGGAAACCAGGTGTGCGGCAGACTCTCGGGATACTGGCTGCATTTGCAAGGCGAGTGGTAGATGGATGTTACTCTAGACTTTGCAAGTCAATGTGCTGTATTACCCGGAGGTCGTACTATCACCTCGTCCATCCCGCTGATGTCGAGAAGCTTCGTCCGGAAAGCTGGCGAAAAAGCCATTGTGCGCAGGCGATAGATTGCCCGTACGCCTACCCCTTCGGCAACCGCGACGACCCCTGCAGCGCCGCATACAAATCCTCCTGACTCCTATCCAACCCATCCGAAACCGCCACCCCAATCTCCGACCCATCCAGCGACTCACTCACATCGTCCCGCTGCTCCCCGCCTTGCCCCTGCTCGCCGCCAGGCAAAAACAGCGCCTCGGCCAACTGTGCGGTGTGCCACGCCAGATTTCGCTGATGCGCCGTCCGACTACTCTCCGAGGGCCCGGAAGATACAATCGAGCTCAGCTGCCGCAGCATGGAGGGTTTCTGGTGCGCCATGGCCATGGAGAGCATGTCGTAGATGCGACGGCGGTGGAGTTCGTCTGTTGACAGGCCGTGCGCACGGAAACCCAGTCCCAGCGCTGTGTGGCCGTCTACCGTCTTCGCTTCGACGCTCACGCCCTTTTGAAGCAGGAGTTCCACGATATCCGAGCGGCAGCTCCACGCAGCCATGTGCAGGGGTCGCCATCCCCGGGAGTCGCTCTCCTCGAGCTTGGCGCCGCTGTAAATGAGGGTGTTTGCCGCCACGTCGTGGCCGAACTCCAGCGCCAGGTGCAGCGGCCGCGAACCTGCGTGGGGCCAGCGGATTTCGGCCCAGTAGCCTCGTCGGGCGGCCTGGTTCGTGCGTTTTTCGGGTTTGAAGTCCGGCGTGGTGAGCTTTTCTTCGAGACTGATGCCGCGGGTCATGCACTCTGCTAGCAAGGCCCCGTGGCCATATGCGGCTGCGATGTGTATCTGGCATGCAGGATCAGTCCATCACGTACGTTCCCAATGGGACGAGTTGCAGTACTTACAGGTTTCCAACCGTAGGAGTTTGTTGTCTTCAAGGTTGCTCCCTTTTCCACGAGTGCTGTAAAGAGCTTGATATCGCCTTTTCGCACTGCATGATGCACGGGCTCCTGGTCATCGGCATCCTGGATGTTGACGGCCGCATCTTTGTGTGCTATGAGAGCTAGAGCGGTGTCAGTGTGTCCTGCTGCAGCTGCCAGATGGAGAGCGCTCTCATCCGTTTTCTTCGTCTGTGCTTTCCATCTTGATTGCGACACGGAGATGTCAGTGAGTGTATTGGACGATAGAAGCCTTGCGTTGATGGAACAACTTACGGCACTTTGAGGCTCAGCAGTTTCTCAACCATTGGCTGATGGCCGAGCTGGGAAGCAAAGTGAAGGGGAGTGTAGTTCTGTGGACTACGATCCTTCAGGCTGGCTTTCTCGTTCAGCACCAGCTCCATCATGGGTAGACTCCCGCTCTGAGCAGCGTAGCCAGTCAATCTCCAGGATTCTTTCATCTTCTTCGGCTTTACGCCTTTGGCAAGGACGGCCTGCGCTGTAGCCGTGTCCCCAAGCTTTACTGCACTCAAGAATGCTTCGACAAGCGCATCATCATTCGTCTTTAGGTAGGGTATAGCGTTGACCAGACACAGAACGGTCTCAGTATGTCCGCCAGTGACAGCAAGTTGTAGTGGCTGGGAGTTCAGCTTATTGCAGTCCGCGGCGTGAGCCCCGGCATCAAGCAGCATCTGGCACATCTCGGTGTCGCCTTCTTTGGCGGCAAAATGCAGCGCGGTATTACCATCCTTGTCTCTAGCACGCAGCTTCGCTCCGGACTTGAGCAGCAACCTCGCGGCGTCCCATCGTCTGTAGCGCGCAGCCTCCATGATAGGTGTGACACCCGTGGCGGGATCGCTCTCGTTGACATTATAGCCGTCTTTCAGCGCCGATGTTATGTCTGAAAGCCGGTTCTCTCTCACGAATTGAATGACGGATACACCCTGAATACGGGAAAAAGATGACCCGCCCGTGCCTCTACGCCGTGTTCGTGGCGACGCCGCACTGGGAGATGCGGGCGCGACGCGAGACGAACTCGTTTCGTAAGCGGGCGGCCTGTCGATATACGGCTCGACTGGAGGATGATCAAGCTCGACATTGATGTAATCCGATGAGCTTAGAGAACGTAGACTCTCGGTGAGTGGCGTCAATTTCTCAGTCATCGTATGTCTCTCCGTCGTTGAACTCTTTAAAGGCGCTGCGGGCGAGCTTGTGAAGCTCGAGTCGCGATCGACCTGGCCTGCCTGTCCAGACATGATTCTTGCCAGTATTGATAGATCACCGGCGACCGAATGGCGCGACACCGGCTTACGTTGGGCCTCCGGCGGCGGGTACGTGTTGCTTGCTCCAGCTTTCGTATCGTTGTTCCACGGCCGCTGATTGCTTCTGGTCGGAATGTCCGGAGGTGGATAGGTTGAACGGCCAATTGGTTCCTGGCTAGGCTCGCCGAGCATCGTATTGATCTCACGAATTAGGGTATTATGGGATAACTGCCTGTCAGGTGCGGGCCTCACGTGGGAGATGGTGGAGTCGGGAGATACTGTCCGTGGGGCTGCGAGCTCGTCCACGACA